TTTTTTTTTTTTTTTTCCAGTGGGCTCATCGCCTTTCCTGAGGACTCCTGTTTTCCCCCAACTAGGTCCCTCCTTCCTTCCAAAGCCAGACCTGGGGGCCTGCCTGTACTCTGCCTCTCTGGTAGTGATTAAACAGCAAGCTGAGGGACCTAGCCTGAATGGACACCCCTAGAACGGAAAGCAGCTTTCAGATGCAATAAATATTACTTGGTGGAATTCAGTTGTGTTTTCTGTCTCCTGTCAGTTCTTTCTCTGAGCTATTTCACCTTCTCGAAGGATGAGCCTGGACTTACACTTAGATACCAAGTTCAGTGCAGCCTACTGTTCTCCCGCGGGGCCCAATTTATTTTTATTTTTTTGAGACAGGATCTGGCTATGCAGCTCAGGCTGGCCTCGAGCTCACTTTGTAGCCCAGGTTGGCCTCGAACTCGCTGCGATCCTCCTGCCTCGCCGGGATTACAGGCGAACACCCCCGCGCCGGGCGGGGTGCGATCTCAGCTTGGCCTAGAGCGGCGCCCACTGCGGGCAGTCCTGCCCCACCCTGGCCCGGCCCACGCCTGGGAACAGCAGCACCCCTGGGCATCCCCTGGGGCCCCGCGGCTGCTTGGGACCGTGGTGGGCACCCTCACACGGCAGCCGCAAGGGCCTGGGCTCGCAGCGGGCGGTCCCAGTGGACCTTCGAGGTGGCCGGGGGCACCCCCGCAGGGTCAGCCCCGGCACGCACGGGGAGCCCGAGCCCGCCCCTGCCCGAGCCGGGCCGCGGAGCATGCTGGGAGTCGCACTTCCTCCTCGGGGGGCCTGCAGAAACCACAGGGCGCACAGCTGGTCAGCCGTCCCGGAGCCGGAGGGATGGCAGAGGGCAAGGCGGGCGGTGCGGCAGGCCTTTTCGCCAAGCAGGTGCAGAAGAAGTTCAGCAGGGCCCAGGAGAAGGTAGGCAGCTGGGGTCCCGGGAGGCCGAGGCTGGAGGTGAGGGTCTCCGGCTGCCCCGCAAGGGAGGAGTGGGCCGCTTCCCAGGCTGCAGAGAGGAGGGAGCCCACCGCTGCCTGGGACGGGGAGGTGGACGCGGGAGAGGGGAAGGACAGGACTAACTTTGGTGCCCAACGGTAGCAGGGTTTGGCCTCCCAGGACAGGGAGGGTGGTGTTTTATAGATGTGGAAATTATAGAGGGTTGCTGGGTGTGGTCGTGCGCGCCTGGATACCAGCTCTCGGGAGGCTGAGGCAGGAGGATCCCCGTGAATTTGAGGCCAGCCTGGGGCTACATAGTGAGACCCTACCTCAAAATAAAGAACTAAGTAAAAGAGGTTAATTTCCCCAGAGCAAAGGCGGTGATAACCAACAGTGGTGCCGCAGAGTGCCACTGTTTAGCTTGGGTTGGGAATCTGAGGACTAAATTCTTCACAATTCTTTTGTACCTGCTGCCACCTGACCTCTAGGTGCTGTTTAAACTGCTGTGAGCAGCAGTATGTCTGCTTCCTGTACCCTCCCTTTGGTATTAGAAAGAACCCCACCCAAGAGGATGAATGAGCATCTTTTCAGTTATATCTATCCTCCAGGTGATAGGGCTACTTGAGCACTAGCATTTAGGTGGGCGGCTGCCCCCTCTCTAACTTACCAGTCTTTCTAGATTATGTGTACATTGTTTGCATATTTTTTCTTTGCATATTTTAATGGCATTTTTCATTTATACCTGTGTATTTTCTGTGGTTCTAACTTTTACCTACCAGCACCCCAGTAGACGTGGTAGTATGGAAAGACAGATAAGCCAGGAAAAAGGAAGGTGCAGAGACTTCAGACACCGCACTGTAATGGTTTTTAAGGGTTCAGGATCTTAGAAGGGTTTGAGTGGCACATGCGTGACAAGGTGAAGTACTGCCTTGGGCCCAGAGAACAATGGAAGGCTACCTGCTCGCTCGCCCAAGGGGTATCAGCCAGGAGCTAATGAAACACAGGTGTGGTTTCTGACTTCTAAAAGGCCTCAGTGGTAGGAAGAGGGTTATACACTTTTTTCTCCTTTTATTTTGAATAGTTTTATATCTTTTTAGGTCATAGGAGAGAGGAAAAGGGAAAGGCTTTGTGTGGCCAGTCTTTGTTACTTACTCTACACCTTGATCATTTTTTTTTTTTAAGACTCTCTGAAGACTGTCAGATTACAAATCTGAAGACCTGAGAGAGTGGCTGTGGGAAGGGCTAGCCGGAAACAGTATGGAGAGCCGGAAGGTCCCTCAGAGAAAGCTGCACTGGGGCTGGAAAAACAAAACACTCCAAGAGACGAGTCAAGGGCTGGTGGGATAGCTCAAGGATAGCTCAGGAGCTTGCCAGCATGCAGGAGGCCCCGGGTTCCATCCTCATCACCACAAAAGATTAAGAAAATAGGGCGGGTGTAGTGGTGCATGCCTGTAATTCCAGCACTCTGGGAGACTGAGGCAGGAGGATCAAAAGTTTGAGCCCAACTTGGACAACGAGAGACTGACTGAGACCCTGTCTCAAAATACAGATAGACTGGGGATGCCGCTCAGTGTGAGGGCCTGGGTTTCAGACCCCAGTGCCCCAAACGCTAATAAAGACAGAGCTGGGGTGTAGTTCAGTGATAGAGCACTTGCCTAGTATACATGAGGCCTTAGATTCGGTCCCCAGCACGCCATAAATTAATTAAATAAAAGAATAGCAATTGATTTTTGCCTCACTTGCCCTCTGTCTTCAGCAGTGGTGGTGAAACTATGGCATTCATGCCACTGTGAGCTGTTTATATCATTGAAAGCTCTGGGGTCAGGGAGATAGCTCAGCAGTACAAGTACCTGCCTGGCAAATGCAAGGCCCTGAGTTCGATTTCTGATATAAAAGAAATCTCTAAAAGGTTTGCCATCACTGACCCTTATTTTGGGCACAGTGTTAATACAGACTCAGTGTATTAATTGAGCTTGGACTCCTTTCTAAGCTTTGACTCCAAAACCTGAGGTAAATAATGTCCTGCTTTTTTTTTTTTTTTTTTTTTTTTCCAGGGATTGAACTCAGGAACTTGTACTTGCCAAGCAGGTGCTTATGCCACTGAGCTATCTCCCCAGCCCAGTGTCCTGCTTTGGACCTCAGATCTTGTGTCTGTAAATGGAGGTTGATACTTTTTTTTTTTTATGCTAGGAATTGAACTCAGGACCTCATGCTTGCCAGGCAGGTGCTGTGCTGCTGAACTGTATTCCCAGCCCCAGAGGTTGATATTGTTTATGAAACCCAATTTGGTAATGCCAGGTTGAAAAGGGGAGGGGACTCCTTAAACCTCAAAGTCAAATATTTCCTAAGAAGAAAACTAGTTACACAGTTAGCACCTGTGCTTCCTGCCTCAAGCCCTCAGAAGGTAAAGAGAAGGCAAGCCTGTGTCTGCCTGTGGGACTCCATATTCAGACAAGATACTCTGAAATCAGACACAGGAATAGGCAAACACTGAATTGGAAGCAGTGCCTAGAGGTGCTGCCTGCGTGAGGGGCAATGGCAGGGGGTGGGGGCGCTTGCTCAGCTCCGTCAGCCAGAGCCAGAGTTCTTGAGTCTTGGGAAGTTGCAGAAGGCAAGGTAAAGAGGGAGGCTGTTCCAGTAAAAAGAAAAGATGCTGTAGAACACTTTGACTTTTCTGTAAGCAGTTGAATAGAGTCCTCTGAGTAACGTCCCAGATAGCCAAATGTGTCAAATACGCAGTGCCCGTGATGGACCAGGGGCAGGGATCTAACAAGTCCTGATCTCTCCCTTTTGAGCCAACATTCTAGCCATATGATCTCACTTCATACTTTAAGCAGGTTGTTACTGTCCCAATTTGTGTGTGTGTGTGTGTGTGTGTGTGTGTGTGTGTGTGTGTGTGTGAGATGCAGGAGTTAAATCCAGACCATACAAGAGCTCTGCCACTCCCTCTTCAGCCCTAGTATCCCAATTTTAGAAATGAGGAAACAAGTTTGAAAAGAGATTGGTAAATGGCAGAATTATTATTGAAACCCAGGTGTCCTGCCTTTGACTTGTAACCTCAGGCTGCTCCCTTTGAGGCCGATAAGCGGGCCTGACATCTGTGCCTCCCACTTCCTGCTGATCCTTGTCTCAGAAAGAGAGGGGCTGGTGTGGAAACAGCTTTGCTCTGAAGAGCTGGGAACGAGTATCTGGTGTCTGTTAAACACAAGGAGGAATTTGGGTGACTCCAGCACTTATCCCAGATTTTCCAAAAGAAAGAAAGAAAGAAAGAAAGAAAGAAAGAAAGAAAGAAAGAAAGAAAGCAAGCAAGCAAGCAAGCAAGCAAGCAAGCAAGCAAGCAAGCAAGCAAGCACGCACGCACGCACGCACGCGCACACACACACAAGGAGGATGAGCCATTCTTTTTGTTTTGTTTTCTCCTTCCCACCCAAACTCATCACAATACTGGCTTCGGACCAGCTTTATTGTATCTTTACAGTACAGTACAGCCTCTTGTTTCAAACTATTGCTTTCACCTTCTGTTCCTGATTTCTCTGTGGCAGACCTCTCAGATCTCCCCTGAGCAAGGGCATTGTTTACTACTTCTTTGTTGATCTTTGCCTCGGTTAATTTTTATTCAACTTATATCCCAGAGGGTTTAATTCACCAAATATTTACAGAAGATTCCTTTGTTTGGGCGGCTGGATTGAATTTAGGAGGGAATTTAGAGGTGAATAAGAGGCATCTTACCTGCCAGAAACTTACAATCTAGTAAAATAAAATAAAAAATAAGTGACCTGAGGGATAGGAACATCTGTGGGAATTCAAAGGATGGAAAGATTTAGGGAGAGCTGAGGGAGGTTTTATGGTGGAGACTGAATTCAAAGCTGGAGTTGTGCATGATTAGGAGTTTCTCAGGCCAGTGGTGAGAGTGCTGAGGGAGTCTGGGAGGAGCTAGAAGTCTGCAGATCCCCTGAGGCCGACTAGTGAGAAACAGCAAGCACAGGGCTTGGCTGGAGAAAGGGCTGAGCAAAGTGTATGGAAGACACAGTAAGGACAGTCTACTTTAGCAGTTGACAGCATTCCATAATATCATCTGATAGCCAGGCCCTATTCAGATTCCCCAAATTAGGATAATTATCTAAAATGTAGTAACTGATTATAGGGAAGGATCATGGTGAGGAACTGTAAGCTACTGAACATGTGTGCAGTGATTTTGAAAATAAAACCCAAGCTACAGAAAAATTAAAAGAGTAGGTGAATGAACACTGGAATATTGTTCACCCAGGTTCACCCAGTGCTAGCGCTTTGTTGCATTTACTTGGTAGCCTTTGCTCTCGCTCTTTCCCTAAATATCTAATCCTAGTTTGTTAACTCCCAGCCCAGGTAACAGAAGCGGAATGTGAAGGTAGGACTTTAGGAATTGATTGGCATTATGTGCATTTTCAATAGGAAGCAATCCAAAAATAGAATTGATTTATTCTTTCAGCAAACATTGGTTGAGCATTTGTAAATGCTGTTCCCCTAAAGATTTCTCCTTGGGGAAAAAAAGCACCTAGGACTGTGAGGACAACCCTTTAGAGCCAAGTGCCTAAACTGCAACCTGGAACCCACTTATTGACAGAGTGCCAGCATAGCAATTAAACCCAAATCCTGAAGTTTTACGGTTTTTCTTTTTTTCTTTTTCTTTTTCTTTTTTTTTAGCAGAACCAGGGATTGAACTCAGGTCCTTGCACTTGCCAGGCAAGCACTTATTCTACTGAGCCAACTCTCCAGGCCCCTGAAGTTTTAGTTTTAAAACAGCAGCTCATACTATCTTCTGTCTTTAAAAGGAAATGGTGCATGCTGTGAATTCACCAACACTGGCCTGGAATTTAGTATGTGTCTGACACACAGACCTGTTGTTTATAGCAACAAAGGCTTTTGGGCCCAGAATCCTGAGTTGTCTTTCCAGAGTGTTAGCGTTTCTTTTTTTGGTTTTTACAATTGAAGGTAGAAGGTTTTCT